AGCTTAAGACAACTTTGACTACAACACCGGTTCTAGTGTTTCCTTCCGGTTCGGGGATGTATACGGTGTATTGTGACGCTTCATGCATTGGCTTGGGTTGTATATTGATGCAGAAGGGGCGAGTTATTGCATATGCTTCATGTCAACTGAAGATTCATGAGAAGAATTACCCCGTGCACGACCTAGAGTTTGCCGCGATTGTTCATGCTCTTAAGATATGGAGGCATTATCTGTATGGGGTGTCATGTGAGGTTTATACTGATCTTTGCAGCTTACAGCACTTGTTCAAGCAAAGGGATCTCAATTTGAGGCAGGGTAGATGGCTTGAGTTAATGAAGGATTATGACATCACCATTCTTTATCATCCGGACAAGGCAAATGTGGTCGCGGATGCCTTAAGCAAGAAGGCAGAGAGTATGGGTAGCTTGGCATTCCTTTCAGCAGAGGAGAGGCCACTAGCTTTGGACATTCAGTCCTTGGCTAACAGACTTGTGAGGTTGGATATTTCTGAGCTCAGCCGAGTCCTGGCATGTGTTGTTGCCCACTCTTCACTATTGGGGCAAATCAAGGCTCGGCAGTTTGATGATCCGCATTTGGCAGTTCTCAGAGAGACGGTAGTATAGAGTAGTGCCAAAGAGGTTTCTATTGGCGAGGATGGTGTTCTGCGACTCCAGGGTCGTCTATGCGTTCCTAATGTCGATGGCTTGAGCGAGAGGATTTTTAGAGGAGGCACACAGTTTTCGGTAATTCTATTCATCCAGGTGCTATGAAGATGTATCGTGACCTGAGCCAGCATTATTGGTGGCGACTGATGAAGAAAGACATAGTTGAGTATGTGGCTAGGTGTTTAAATTGCCAGCAGGTTAAGTATGAGCACCAGAGGCCAGGTGGCCTACTTCAGCAGATGACTATACGTGAGTGAAAATGGGAACGCATTACTATGGACTTCGTTGTTGGATTGCCGCGGACCTTTCGGAAGTTTGATGTAGTTTGGGTCATTGTCGACAGGTTAACCAAGTCGGCACACTTCATTCCGGTTGTGACTACCTATACTTCAGCAAAGTTGGCCCAGATTTATATTCGGGAGATAGTTCAGTTGCACGGTGTGCCTGTTTCCATCATATCAGATAGAGGCCCTCAGTTCACTTTACACTTCTAGAGAGCCATACAGAGTGAGTTGGGGACCCGTGTAGAGCTCCGCATAACATTTCATCAACAGACCGACGGGCAGTCGGAGCGGACAGTTCAGATCTTGGAGGACATGCTCAGAGCATGTGTGATTGACTTTGGAGCGCAGTGGGATCAGTTCTTGCCTTTGGCCGAGTTTTCTTACAACAATAGTTATCAGTCCAACATCGAGATGGCTCCATTTGAGGCTTTATATGGTCGGCGATTCCGTTCTCCCATCGGGTGGTTTGAGCTCGGCGAGGCTAAGTTATATGGTACAGATTTGGTGAAAGATGCCTTGGAAAAGGTAAAGCTGATCCAGGAGCGACTTCGCACAGCACAATCCAGACAGAAGAGTTACGCGGATCAGAAGGCACGGGATGTATCATTTATGGTCGGCAGGAAGGTTCTCTTGAAAGTCTCGCCGATGAAGGGTATTATGAGGTTCGGGAAGAAAGGAAAGTTGAGCCCCAGGTTTATAGGCCCACTTGAGGTGTTGAAGCGAGTTGGGGAGGTTGCTTATGAGCTTGCTTTACCTCCCAGCTTATTAGGAGTTCATCCGGTTTTTGACGTGTCTATGCTCCGGAGGTACCACGCCGACTTGTCACATGTGTTAGACTTCATCACTATTCATCTAGATGAGAGCTTGGGTTATGAGGAGGAGCCAATTGCTATTGTTGATAGACAGGATCACTAGTTGAGATCCAAGATGATTTTCGCGGTAAATGTTCAGTGGAGGGGCCAACCAGTCGAGGAGGCGATCTGGGAGTCCGAGGAGGACATGCAGAGCAGATATCCACACTTATTCAGCACTTCAGGTATGAATCTAAACCCGTTCGAGGACGAACGTTTGTTTAAGAGGTGGAGAATGTAACGACCCGACCGGTCGTTTTGCTTGTTAGAACCCCGTTCCCCTAAATGAGACTTTCTGTACTTGCTTTTACTGATTTATGACTTGTGGGGATAGTTTGTTCGGGATTTGGAAGAGTTTAGATTAAAATCGGAACACTTGGTTCCTTAAGGTTGGCTTAAAAGGCCAAGTTTGACTTTGGTCAACTTTTTAAGTAAACGACCTCGAAATCGATATTTGACAGTTCCAAGAGGTTTGTATGATGATTTCAGACTTGGGCGTATGTCCGGATCGGGTTTAAGATGACCCGGGAGCATTTAGGCACCTAATAGTAAAAGTTGGTTCTTGAAGAACTATGAAGTTCTTTACATTTGGTTTGGAGCAGATTTTTGTGATATCGAGATCCAAACGGAATTCTGAGACTAGAAATAGTTCCGTAATGTCATTTAAGACTTGCACGCAAAATTTGGTGTCAATCCGAGTAGTCTAAGTATGATTCGACGCGTTCGGAGCGATTTAGAAACTTGAAGTTCAAAGTTTGATTCAATTTGATTTTGGGATGCGATTCTTGGTTTTGTTGTTGTTTTACGTGTTTTGAGAGTTCGAGCAAGTACGTATTATGTTTATGACTTGTTGGAGTAGTTTGACGGGATCTCGACGGGCTCGGGTGCATTTCGGACCGCCGGAGTTGAGTTGAAACACACCAGATTTCTGCTTCTGGTTTCCTTCTTCGCGAACACAGTCAGACCCTCACATTCGCGATGAAGGATTTGGGGTGCTGTGGGCTGGGAAGCTTTTTCCCTTCGCATTCGCGTGCCCAGGATCTCGTTCGCGGATTCCTGGATCCTCTAGCCATCGCGTTCGCGTGACCTGGCTCGAGTTCGCGTAGAAGGGGCTGAGCTGGGTGGCCGCTGTTTATTCTTCGCGTTCGCGAAGAAGCCCTCGCGTTCGCATAGGGTAGGCCAAGCAAGCCTTCGCGTTCGCGATGGGTAATTTCCCTGGGCCTGGACCGTTTGCCTTTGCGATCGCGAGGCTTCTTCCGCGATCAAGAAGAAGGCAGACTTGGGCAGAACACTTTTAAAGAACGGGACTTAGGTTATTTTGGCTCATTTCTTCCATTGTTGGGCGAATTTTGGAGCTCTTAGAGAGGGAATTTCACTTAGCACTTTGAGGTAAGTAATTTCTACACAATGTGAGTTAAATACATAGTTTGTGGGTAGATTATAACATGTAAATTAGTGAAAATTATGGGTTTAGGTGGAAACCTAGGTTTTTGATAAAAATGAGATTTAACCACGAAATTTGTTATGGAATTTAGTAAAAATCATATATTTATGTTCCTAAGGTCATGGGTAACAACTTTCTTTGAAAATTTCGAAACCCGAGCATGTGGGCCCGGGGGGTGAGTTTTAGGAATCTTGCAAATTAGGTTGGGTAATCACTTAAATGGTGGAATTATGAACTTTTGAGCATAGATTGATTAGTTTATATAATATTTGACTAGCTTCGAATTGTTGGGCGTCAAATTTGGAGGTTTGAGAGCGTTCTTGAATCGGGAAGTAGGCTTTTAGACGAGGTCTAACCTTGTAAGAGGGAATTAACCCCATAAGTGAATTAAAAATATGTTTGAACCTATTTGTGGGGGCTACGTACGTACGAGGTGACGAGAGTCCGTACGCAGCTACTAGTATGCTATTGTCCGGGTAGTTTAGGACCCATATCATGCTATAATTGGAATGTTGTGTCCTTACTTGCTAAACTAATCACTTAAACCATGTTAGAAATTTATGAAAGAGTTGTATTCGGTTAAATTCACTTACTTGAAGGTTTGTATGAAATACTTGACTGTAAATGAGAAATTTGTGTTTTCTTGAAAATGAAGTGTTATTTGTGGATCGGGCAGAGCGCCTCGGTAGTAAATAGATGCATCTATGGTTCGCGCCGTTCGATCCTCCGGCAGTGCATATTTTAATACTATGTTGGACCGGGCCGTACGACCTCGGCATTGCACATGTTAATTATTTGGAACCCTCCGTGATTTATAATTTTCTAAATGCTTTGAATTGTAAGTTGTTACATGATATGACTGAAATTGACATTTCAGTTACGAAAGAATATCTTATCTCTTCATGTTATTGAACTGTTAGCATTATTCATGGTATCTATGCCTAGCTTAACACTTAATTATATTATTGTTGGCCAGTAAGTGTCAAGTTGACCCCTCGTCACTACTTCTTCGAGGTTAGACTGGATATTTACTAGGTACATATTGTTTATGTACTCATACTACGCTTCTGTACTTAATTGTACTGGATCTGAGGCAGGTGCATCTGGTTATCCGCCAGGCGCGCATTCTTGAGCTTGGACCGATACTTCACGGTGAGCTTCCCCCTTTCTAGCCGTTCAGCAGCATGCCGGAGTTTCTCTTTTGCTTGTATCTGTCTATTCTATTTCAGACAGTAGGATAGTCATCTTTTGTATATTCTACTAGTTGCCCACACACTTGTGTCACTAGATCTTGGCACATATTAGTAGACTTGATTTTTGGGTTGTATTCCTATAGTTATGATTTCTTTTAGTTGTTACCGTTTTGGTTGCTTTAAAAATCCGTTATATATATCAAATGATTTAAATTTAAGTAAAGTTAGATGTTGGGATTGCTTAATAAAATGGGAAACCACTAAGTTGTTTACTTATGACTTTGTCTAGCAACGGTGTTGGACGCTATCACAGCCTGACATGGAATTGGTTCGTGACATAGGGTCTAACTATTCTTGATCTTTCTACACTTGTTTTTTTACGTTAAGCATTTTATTAGTTTTAAAAGAAATAACAAAAAAAAATGAAGAAAAACAAAATCAATTTTTTTATGCCAACTCACGGCAGAAAGAAAGTGTGGTCTTACCAGCACAATTTTTGAACGCACATTGCACATACTCCCACAATTTTCCTTTCTTATCCACAAATATCAATAATTTTCTATTTATTCCTTGCTCACCAATTAGTCCCAGCACGTTTTTGATTCTATTCCTCATTCCCCACAAAAATATTCCTCCACAAAAATATTCTCCCACATAAGACCTAGATCTTCAGGTATAAATAGAGAGCAACACAATACAAATACAAAAGAAGAGGAGAAAGAAAGAAAAAATCAGCAAAAAACAGTAGCTAAAACAGCCACCCAAAACAGTTTGAGCTTCGTTTCCACCGTGTAAGACCACCCACGTTCAGTTTGAGTTTTTTTACTCATGTATTTGAAGAAGTTTCCATCTATACAAAGGTCGTGCTTTTTCTCTTTATTATTATTATTTTACTGTTTTAATTGATACTTTACTTTGATTGGTCTAACTAAAACCTTTCAACTGTCGAATGAACGTTGGATGTTTGTTTTGTTTGTTAAATCTTTGAGAAGAAGGAATATGATTCTCACCTTAATACATAAAGTTTGATATTTTATTTTCAAAGGGTAAAAAAATTTATTTGACATTTTGCTTTAGATCTTTGTGTTTGTAGAAGTTATTTACTTTTGTCAACTACTTCTCTCTATCTCTCATTAAATTCTTAATAAAATCAACATTCCTAAATAGGAGATGAAGAGAAAATCGATTTGTTGCTCTAGATGGCACAACTTGGTATGTATTTTAGAAAATTTTAAAGTCAAAAATATTAGGCAAGGGATTTATATAAAATAAAATCTTGATTTTGAGCTTTTAAATAAAGAAAGATTTAATGATCAAATTCAATATCCTAAATAATACAATTTTAAATTCCTAATTATTAGGAACACTACTCAATTCACTAATTCTAATATGTAATTTTTAAAGGGTAAAAAAAAAAGGTATTTGTGCTTTTAATATAATATTAGATATAAATATCTATATCTATATCTATCGTTAAAATAACACGGTCTAGCCAGTTTTTGGACTGGTCATTCAAAAATAGCCAGCGTTTACCAAGTCAATCAAAAATAGCCACTATTTTGCTGCAACAGAGACCGGTCCAGCATAATATACTGGAGTTCGCTGCACCTGTGTATGAACTTCCAGCATATTATGCTGGAACTCCAACACACGGAAAGTTCCAGCATAATATACTGGAGATTCGAGCACTTGTGTATGAACTTCCAGCATATTATACTGGACAGGTATACTGTGCTGGAACTCCAGCATATTATGATTGTTAGCTAACCCGTGACCCTGGAATATTCTCTCCTACTGATTGTTATTTGAAATTACTATTTGTTCGGTTGCTTTCTAGTTAATTCATTGCTTGATAGTTTTAGGTAGTAAATTAGTTACGTCTATATTTTGTGAAAAATCTCTTGGATCGATAAGTTAATTGAGTTTGAATCAGTCAATAGTTAATCACAAGTCTTCGTGGGAATGAAACTCTACTCACTACTTTATTACTTGACGATCACGTGCACTTGCGTGAGTGTTTTTGGTCGCAACAAGTTTTTGGCGCCGTTGCCGGGGACTTAGAAATTAACTATTTTTCTAGATTAGACTTTTACTTTTATCTTTACAAGTTTTTTTTTCCTTCACGTTTTGTAAATATTTTATTTTTTATAACTATTTGATTTTTCTCTTAGTGTTTTTCTAGTTCTCTCAGCATGACATCTGGGGATGAAATATCCAGAGGTAAGGGTATTGATGAAGATTCTTGGTTGACGAAAGACTGTTATGGCCCGTCTTTTTGGGCTTGTCATGACCTGACCTCTTCGAAGTCTGAATTTGAATATGGGAGTAAGGGTTGGTATTGGGACGGATATTCTCGATTAAGCGAATATGCGAACCGACGTAGTCTTCTAACAACGTTGGTGAATGATTGGTCTAAGGAGAGAGACGATCTTGCACATAAAATCGATAATTTTGGCTTGGTTGTGCATAACTAGGATGCAAATTTGAGTGCAAAGGTTGATGCCTGTAACGCCCAATAATTTAATGATGAGTTGTGTGAAGCTGAAAAAGATCTTCTAGACCAAATTGAGCAGCTAAAATGAGATACCAATCATTAGACCATATTCTCCTTGATGATGCCAATATTGAGAAGAGTGCTCTAGAGTCATGCGAGAGAGTAAATAACATTACTTTGGGAGACTTGAGTGTGTGTATATATGGGGATGTAAATAATAGTACAATTCATGAGTTAGGGCGCAATAGACCTCATTCCAATTATTTTTCTACATTGTGTTTAGATAGTAAGATAGTAATCGAGCCATCTGAGCCTATGAGGGAGTCAAAGAGTGAGGATGAGAGTGTCTATATTCTTGAATTTTTCATGCCAGAAAGCAAAAATTACATTCCTCATCTAAAGGCCAAGAAGTGCAGAGTGAAAAAATTATTACTTGGCATGGTTATCATTGTAGCCCCACCACTGGAGCATAACCACAGACTGGATGCCATGTTAGGGGTACAAATTCATAAGTTCGAGGTGGAGGAAAAAGTGGTTAACGTCGTGCCGCGACGTTAAATTAGGCGCTTGTTCTCCCAACTTTATTGCTTTTTTTATTATTTTTGTTTGTTTTTTATTTATTTTATTTTTATTATTTTGTAGCATTTATGTTTGTTTTGTAGGATTATGAGCATAGGAAGCAAAGCCATTGGAAGAGTGCAAAAGTGAGCTAGATGGTGAGGACTAAGTATGGGGTGCCCACACAAAAGACCATGCTTGGGGGAAGTCTGAGTACCTCGTGAGCCATTATTGCTTCGGCCTTTGGCCTTTCAGGTAGTTTCTTGTCCACCCCTGTTATTGTTTTGCTTTATTTGTGCCTTGGGGACACTGCACTCTTTTAAGTGTGGGGTGGGAGAATTTCTCTATATAATTAGTAGTAGGATGTTAGAAAAATATTAACTTCTTATTTTTGTTCTTTGTAGTTGTGTAGTACTTTAGTAGCTATGAGAAAAAATCGAAAAAAAAGTAGAAAAAATTGAACTTTCCCGACGATGGATCTCCTAGACAGTTTTCTTAAGGGATTAAAGCCCAAACAAAATCCAGAATATGTTTTTTATCTTTCTTTAGGTAGTAATAATCCCACGAGGTTTTTCTTTGTGCCTCGGTTCTTTTTCATGGGATGCAGTTTGAACCGGGTAGTTTTTTTTCTTTTAGAGTAGATTAGGAATTTAGAGAATAAAAGGAGGAAGAATGATGAACCTAGCCGCCTTGACTTGTATGATAGTAGCATATTTAGGCTTTGCATGTGTAGTATATTCCCTATGATTTCAAATTGATCATGATGCCTCGCTTACTTGGATAGCATGTTTTGTGACACCTATGTCTCATTTTCTTGACTTGTGTTCACTCTGTGCTTAATGCTTAATATCTTGTGGCTCCGTGAATACTTGAATTGTTTGATAGTCGGAATGAGATCGTCCTTAGTGTGTCATGTGCCATGTGTGGTGAGGTTTTTGTGTAGTCTATGTATTGTACTTGTGTCTAGAACTTGCCCGGTATGTGAGTTGAAGAGAAATTTAAGGTGATGCTCGGTTTAAAAAATAACTTTAGGCTTTCTTTGATCTTTTGAGCTTAAATGCTTATCACAAATAAACTTTATCCCTAGTTAACCCTTTTGAGCCTATAGACTTTTATTTGACACCCACATTACAAGCCTATACCTTTTTTGTTCTTAATTGACATTGTTTTGATCCTTTTACCTCTTAAAGCACTTTAATTGTGAGATAAGCGCTAAAAGAAGTAAGAAGGGACTAAGTGTGGGGTGGCTTTGGAGTGGAACTAATGAAAGGAGGAAAGGCGCATTTGAATTATAAAAAAAAATACACCACTAGTGAGAAGTGTTGAAAGAAAGAAAAATCTAGAAAAAGAACAAAATAAGAGAGTAAATTGGCATCTTGTGATTGCTAGTGGGGTATAAACTAATGTAGTGCTTAAAGAAAAAGGGTACCTTGTTGGGAGTGATTTTAGTTGTAAAATGAAATTGGGATTGAAGAATTTGCGCTTAAAGGTTATCATATGATGTGTTAAAGTGCTTAGGAGGTTGAGTCACTATTCCTAAATATATCCTACTCATCCCTTAGCTCACATTACAACCATGATAAAGTCCTAATTGATTTTAGATCGAGTGAGCCTACATTAGAAGAGATTTACATTTAGGGCAAGCCTATGGTACCAACTGCATGCATGTGACTTCTTTGTGAGAGTGAGCGATATTTCTTTGATATATGAGTCCTTAAAATATATTTGAGTATTTGATTCGAATGTGTGGATTCTTCTTATTCTCTTTGCTTTTGTTGTGAGGGCACATGATTTTATGAGGGATAGGTAACATTATTAGACTTCTCTACGATGTTGAGTGTTCAAGCCCGAGTGCATTGTGACATTGAGTCGGGTTTTGAGGCAAGGATTGTTAAGAGAATGATGCTTTTGTTTTGAATATTTTTGAAATATGGCATAAGTTAAAGGAAAGTGTGTGTTGAATGCATATGCTAGATCTTAATTGTTGCTATCAACCATGGTCATAGGTGTGGTGTGCTTTGAAAGATAAGAGCTTTATTTTGTTTCGTCTACTATAGTGATGGTTTGTTCGAGGACGAACAAAGGTTTAAGTGTGGGGTGGTGATGTTGGGAATATTTCTATATGTTTTGATGGTACTTTACCCATGTTTTAACCGCTTTTTGGTGCTTTTTGGTGTTAAAAATGCCCAACATGGTTCAATTATTGGTTTTATGACTAATGGAGTTGTGTGTGTTGATTTAGGGTGTTTGGAGTGCAAAAATATGAAGAAAAGGTGCTCCAACTAGAGAAAAAGAGGTTGGATTGGAAAGAAGATACTTGGTGCATCCCCATAGCATCCGCACCTGGGCAAAGCTGAGATGGAGGAACAAAGGGTGGATGCGAAGTTGAGAAGCGGAGGACGAGGTGGATGCGGAGCATCCACCCCAGCATCAATCCCTGAAGCTGATTCGGACTAGGATTAGGAGAACTTTGGCCACGACTTTTGTACGCAATATATAGGCCAAAAACACCCCTTTTAGGTCATCTACATACATTTAACACACGGGGAAAGGAGAAAAAGCCACGACAAAGCTTGGGAATCACAGAATTCCTCTTGAGTTCTTACTTTTTCCTTCTTTTATTGATTTTTATGTATTCTTGGGAATTATTTGAAATTGTTACCATGAGCATGCGTGGCTAAGAACCCTATTGTTCTAAGGTCATGGGTAGAACATGAATGTTGATATTTGAAGTTTAATTTGACGAAGTTGATTTTATCATATTGGGTTGTTTATTTAATTCTGTTCTCAATTATTTTGCTGAGTAGCTAACAGTGAAATACTATCTACGAATTTAGAGTTGAACTCGAAAGTGGGAACTCTAGATTGCATACAGAATTAAATAGAGCAAGTTCTTGAACCCGGGCATCGGGGAACGGATTCACAATTAGGATAAACATATACCTAATTGTCTTGCTTGGTTGAAATACAGAAAGTATAAATGCATTTTTTGTTAATTTTAATTCCATAGACATATAGGGATTAAGTTAACTTGAATAGGCGAGTAAGAATTCGACAGATTCTTATGAGCAATATCAACCCTGTCAATCAACAATCCAAATAAACCAATTAGTCATTTTAAGCCAAGAACGCAACACGATTGTTAGCTAACCCGTGACCCTGTAATATTCTCTCCTACTGATTGTTATTTGAAATTACTATTTGTTCGGTTGCTTTCTAGTTAATTCATTGCTTGATAGTTTTAGGTAGTAAATTAGTTACGTCTATATTTTGTGAAAAATCTCTTGGATCGATAAGTTAATTGAGTTTGAATCAATCAATAGTTAATCACAAGTCTTCGTGGGAACGATACTCTACTCACTACTTTATTACTTGACGATCACGTGCACTTGCGTGAGTATTTTTGGTCGCAACAGGCTCATTTGGTGTACCAATTGCTTTAGCACTACTCATGCCGAACTTTTGAATCAATTCCTTTGGTTGGTCTGACATATAAAAATTCCTTCCTCAGATTGTTAAATTTGAAGTCCAAGGAAAAATGTGAGTTATCCCATCATGGACATTTCAAATGCATTTTGCATGAGATTAGCAAATTCCTTGCACAAAAGAGAGTTAGCACTTCCAAAAGTAATATCATCAACATAGACTTGGATAATGAGATTACCTTCTGATGATCTTTTGATGAATAACGTAGTATCTACTTTACCTCTTGTAAAAATATGATCAAGTAGAAATGAGCTAAGCTTTTCGCACCAGGCTCGAGTAGCTTGCTTGAGCCCGTACAGGGTTTTAGTCAACTTATACAGATGGTAAAGAAATTGTGTGTCTTCAAAACCAGGAGGTTGTTTTACATACACCTCCTCATCAATAAAGCCATTTAAGAAGGAACTTTTGACATCCATCTGAAAAAGTCTATAACCTTTAAAAGATGCATATTCAAGAAGAATCCGTATATACTCTAATCGTGCTACCGAAGCAAAGGTTTCATCATAGTCGACTCCTTTCTTCTGTGAGTAGCCTTGAGCTACTAGTCTGGCTTTGTTTCGCACTACTCCATCTTCGTTCAACTTATTTCTAAAAACCCATTTGGTTCTAACTATGGCAGCGTTTGCAGGCTTAGATAACAGTTCCCAGACTTGATTCTTATCGAATTGATCGAGTTCCTCCTGCATGGCTTGTACCCAGCTGGAGTCTTTTAATGCTTCCTCAACTTTCTTTGGTTCGATTTAAGAGATGAGTGCTACATTGCCTTCTTCTTAAGAGCTCCCTGATTTTCTTTCCTTCACTCGGATCTCCTATGATAAATTTTGAGAATATTTTGGTTCACTTATCCACTCATTGGGACACGTTCCAACTATAGGAGTAGTTGACACCTTCTGTGGTTCAGGTTGATTATTGACAGGTTCACTAGTCTACTCACTGACTGCGTCTATGCTATCAATCGACTTTTGTGACTTGCTTGTCTGTGATGTTGCTTGGCTGATAATTTCATCACCTATAATAATTCCTTTCTCGGCCGTAGTGTTATTTTCTTCAAATATGACATGCACTGATTCTTCTACAGATAGAGTATGTTTATTATAGACTCTAAAAGATCTATTATAGAGTAAACAAGAAAAATACCATCATCACTCCTTGGATCAAATTTTCCAAGGTTGTCCTTACCATTATTTTGGATGAAGCACTTACTGCCAAATGGATGCAAGTAGCCTATATTGGGTCGTTTTCCTTTCTATAATTCATATGAATTTTTCTTCAAGATGGATCTTATAAGACATCTGTTGAGAATGTGACGGGATGTGCTTACCTCTTCCGCCCAAAAGTGATTTGGCAATGAATGTTCTAATAGCATTGTTCTGGCCATATCTTATAGGGTTCGGTTTTTTCGCTCAACTACTCCATTCTGTCGAGGTGATCTTGGAGCTGAGAAATTGTGGGTATGTCCTTGATCATTGCAGAAATCTTCAAAAGCTCTACTTTCGAATCTCCTCCATGGTCACTTTGGATGGTTGTGATGAGATACCCTTTTGCTCTTTCAACTCTTTTACAGAAAATCTCAAAAAATTTCAAAGCTTCATCTTTATGAGATAAGAAAACGACCCATGTAAAACATGAGTAGTCATCTAAAATAACAAAAGGTTATCGCCTACCTCCAATGCTAGCAGTTCAAGTGGGTCCCAATAAGTCCATATAAAGCAATTGTAAAGGCTTGGTCGTAGACACAATGTCTTTATTTGTGAAAGAGTTTCTAGTTTGTTTACCAATCTGACATGCGTCACATATATGATTTCTAGAAAAATTGAGTTTGGGAAGGCCAATAACTAAATCATGCTTGGAGATTTTCTCAATTAGATGCATGTTTGCATGACCAAGTCTCTTATACCACAATCATGGATCATCAGATATTGGTGCTAAACATATATGACTATCTAGATTTCATATGCCATCGGGAGTATAAACATCTCCATACCTTTTCCCTAGAAGTATTGTTTTTCCTGACTCGTCTTCAATGACACATCCTGTTTTCTTGAATTTGACTTCGTACCCTGAATCACATAGTTGACTTATACTCAAGATATTATAGTTGAGTCTATCTGCAAGATATACTTCTGTAATATCACAATTTTTGTTTAATGGAATTGTCTCGGTGCCAGAGTAACCTGCAAGTAGGGGTGTTCAAACCGAACCGGAAAACCGCACCAAACCGAAAAACCAAACCAAACCGATTAAAAAACCCGACTAGGTTTGGTTTGACTTGGTTTGGTATTGAGTAAAAAAACCCGAACCAAACCGACATATAAATATATAAATTTTATTTATATTTTTAAGAGTTTATAGTGATTTTTCTTTAGAAAATGTAGAAATATTTGAGATCCTCTCATGTATTAACTCTGAAAGCGTAAATTAACGAAAAAATATTATTAGACGACTAAGAAAATAACTATCATGTGTTACTAAAAAAATTCTCCCAATAGAATATTTTAATAGATCATATGTTTGTCAATTTTTTTCATATTTACTAAACATATATTCACTTATCAAAGCTTTATCTATAAATTTTAACAAAGTAAGATTGAAATAATATTCATGTAATAAAAAAACCCGAAAACCCGAAAACCCGAAAAACCCGACAAAACCAAACCAATCCAAACCGATATAGTTGGTTTGGTTTGGTTTTAGTAAAAACCGAACCAACCCGGTCCATGTACACCCCAACCTGCAAGTGTGAGATAGTCGTGGGATTGTTAGAGCCTGAAGTGTTGTTAGGTTTAGATTTAAGAGTTGATATCTGAATAGTTTTGACTTATTTCTTCTAATGAAATTTAGAGTTAAATTCTATGAGTTAGGTCGTAATTTTTGTACCTTTTAAAAGTCGGGTGATTTTTTACATTAAATTGTCTATTTTTACTTATTCGCACTATAATTTTTTATTAGGCAAATCCTAGGAACCACTCAATTTAACAATAATGGATACATGCAAGTTTCTTGAAGATTCCTTAAAGCGAAAACGTCACGAAAGAATGTATTCACATTCTCGAGGCTGACAAATATAAAAAAATATAAAGAAAATGCTATTTTTAGAGGATCCCTACTCTCGTTGCCTATGCTCCATAGCTAGGTTAGCAATATTTATATTTTTAATTAATGTTATGGATTTATATCTATTAGATCCTTTGCAATTCTAGTAAACTTTTACACTTAATATTTATACACCGCATCAAAAGTACTGATCTTATATGAACCCGTTACTTTCAAAGTACATTCGCCCCTATGTATATCTACTATATCTTGCAATTCTAGTGATCTTTCTTGAATTACATGCGTGCATGCAATCCTACTACCAAATTTTGTAAGAATCGAATGAATATCTTAAACTAAATCTCAAATCAAAATCCAAACCAAATGAAGTTACGTGATAGTGTATATAAATTAAATTATTAACTTATAGTATTACAGATTATATTTTCAAACTTAAATCATGAATTTCATTCTCGAAAGATTAGAACATCTAACCGAAATTTGGAATCTATTTATGAATCTAGCATTACATTTCAGATATTAAATCGGGAATAGATCCTGACATCTCTATATGTTAGAGGTAATAACCCGTGCAACGTAACGTAAGGACTTCGTGTCAGAACAAAAACCTCAACAAAGAAGTGGTGGCTATAGAGCTATACAAAATCGAACCGTAACCGTTAACCGAACCGCAAAATTGATTTATTGGTTTATTGGTATCGGGTTATCGGGATAATGGTTGGTGAGCGAATTAAGATTTTATAATTAACGGCTTAACAGCTTGAGGCGGATTACTCAATTTTCATATGAACTGATTTCTGTAGCTGAATGAGCTACAGCTGCTAGAATGTGAAAGTTATTCCGGTGAGGAAGTAAGTTTTCAGGACCCTTTGTTTGTATAGTAGAATCCAGGATGATATCTTGAAATTTTTTGCGCAAGAAATTTTAATATGGCTTCATATACGTTCCTTATTTCTAGTGTTGCCTATGTTATCTGGATTATGTTCTATTTCTTATCTCTTCTTTTTGTTTAGCGGTGAGGACAAAATAGTTAATCAGATATAAGTTTCAAGACAAATGTTCATTATTGTAATTGATCGCAATCCGAAGGTGACTTTGTTAGGGATATAGTAGATATGCCCTAGATCCAATATCATATTTGATGATTTGAACACATTTTTGTGAACATTATTTGATATAAAAATATATGGCATTCTTTTTATCATAGTTATTATTAATTGTTTGATTAATTTGATAAGGTCCTTGATTAAATTTTGAGATTTGTCATCGTGATAGAGATCATGATAATGAGAGCAAAGTCTCTTATAATTTAATCTGAAATTGTTCTTGATCGTAGGATTATTAATCTGGACATTAGTAATCCGGTTAGATCAATATTTATGTGATCGTCTTTATGGGATAAAGATTAGTTGATCTCATTAACTAAATCACATAGATAGATGATGCATATAGAGATATGATCATTGAACCGACTCATTGGATAATTCCTAATGGTTAGAATTACCATAAACTGTCAATAGGATATTCTCTTGAAGAATGTGATATAAAAGTTTCCATTGACCTGAGATCGTCATAGTAATTGACAAGTTATTTGTTGTGCTTTAATACTAGATACCTATGGCCCTAGGGCGATAGTTGAAAGGATATTGGGTACGATTGAATACTTGTAGAATTAGTGATTGATCAAGATGGAATCTGTCAACTCTTGGTAATGAGTTTAAGCTCCATGTTGTCATGAATTATAAACGACCAAATTAAGACCTTGGCCAGGGCAATTGAATGAAAAGAAGAAAAGAGTTTCTTAGGTCATTCAATGGTCGATTATATTTGACATGAACACATAGTTGGTCGCCTATTAGGATTTGACAGTTGAACCATATCCTAGGGTGATCCAGAGCTATAAGGACAGAAGGAATTACTACATTATTCTTCTACTGGTTCTTGAGAGTAAATTGTATACTTCATGCTATCCGGTCGCTAAGGAGTGTTGCAAGACGCCACCCTTGATTAGTATATTGATGTGGTCAATTTACTACCGGTTTAGTATTGAACCTATGGGGTCGCACACTAACGAGTGTTCTGATCTTTGCTAAAGGATTAATTACTTTATTATTTGTTAATTAAATTAAAGAATTTAATTAGTCAAATAAATTATTTAGTTAGTCCAAATGAAATATTATTATATTCTTTGCTAGCACAGAGGATATAATTAATATTGTGAACAAATTGAAATTTCTATTTGGAATAGAAAATAAATTATATCTCTTGGTTGAAATATACATATGTGAATATATAATATAAAAAAGTGTTAATTTATATAAAGGTTACATATAAATATCAATTTCCTTACCAATTTTGAATTGGAGATGAAAGTCCAAAAAGGACTACGGCATGCACGGGAATTCCATTAGGAATGGGATATATATTTTCCATTGGAAAAGTTTTATAATGTTTGATTTGGAATTGTAAAGTGACGTATAAGTTGAATCCAACGTTAAGTTGGAAAGACGAGAATCCAACTTTGAGTTGGAGGAATGGATTCGGCAGTCATCTTACGTGATTTTCCAATTTTCCATATAATTTGAAGTTTATTTTTGGAATAAACTTTTACCCTAAGCAAATCATTACCTCAACCAAATAGGAATAGGGTTTATAGGTGATGCTATATAAAGGGTGATGGAGAAAATTTGTCATCATTAATTCTTTAGAAGAAAACCCACTTTGTGAAAGTGAGAATACAATACAAAGCCAAGAGAGAAAATACAATTGCAAGAAAAGTGTTTCTTGTTCTTCTACCTTTGAGTTGAGATTTTTGAGAAAAATTTCAACACAATATTTCGTTCAATTTGTTCGCGGGTTTCATTGATCAAATAGTTGATAGCAAAGATCGGTCTCGGTGTGGATACGCATAGAGTCTTTGCACTATCGAAGAAATTTTGGAACGAGACTTTCTTCACCAGGTACGTCTTAGATCCGATCTATTGACATGTAAATAAATTTTAAACACGAAAAGATCTTCCTAGGATTGTTATTGTCTTCCGCTGCGTGTTACGAACACCTATACGCAATCCATCAGACTTATCTTAAATTTTTCCTTATCTCTAGTTCTCTAATTCTTTTTTGTTGTCTATTTGATTTAGCCGATAAATCGCCTGATAATCGCTAATCCATTACCAATCCCACCGATGTCTTATTGGTTGTCTAGCTAGCCGATTATTATATTGATAAACCGATAATCGATAATCCAAACTGGTAAGCGTAAATATCCGTCTGATCCGCCCGATAAACACCCTCAGTGGTGCTATCAATTTTATGGTGGTAATCGTTTGGATTACTATATACTTCCTTTGTCCCAGTTTAAGTGAGGGTTTGCTTGGGCACAGAGTTTAACAAAAAAAGAAAATCTTTTAAAAATTGCAGTTTAAAATGAGCAATAGATTTCAGTCGGTCAATTAAATTTCACAGACGACCCAAAAAGAAAAAAATCTGCCGAAAAAACCGATAGAAGTCCGTCGGTATTTCTGACCGAATTCGGTCGGTATTTTTAATTATGAAATTAAAAAATACACTTTCTGGGAATTGAATAGGGTCTGTATTGTGGCAGGATACTATTCTACCACTAGACCATTAGTACATTTTGGTTTAAGACTTTCTTTTATTTAATTTGTACTCTTTTATTGCATTTTCGCGCAAAAATAACCGACCGATTTCGGTGGGTTTTATTAAAAATATAAAATTACCGACCGAAGTCGGTCGACTTTTTAAAACGATTGACTGAAATAACCGAAGGATTTGGTTAGTTTTTTGAATTTTAATTTTAATTTATTTTATATGAAAAACCGACCGATTTCTGTTGGTTTCTTAAAAAATAAATTTCACGGGATACTAAAATAGTTTCCCGCATTTATGCGCCAAAAAATAAACCGAACGAAGTTGATCGGTTTCGTAAAAAAAAATAATAATAATAATTTTAAAAACCGACCGACTTCGATCGATCAAAGACAATTTTGGCCGAATTTCTAACCGTGTGTGTGACTGACTAAAAAGAAAAAAGTATCATATTTCGTGTTTTGTGTTCTAATTTTTTTAGTGCCTTTTATCGGTGGTAAGAAAGAATGAAGCTATGCACTAGTGTAATATAACATGCTTGCTTGTAACTCAAGAAAGATGCAGACTATTTAACTTCCATAACTTGATCACCATATATTATTGTATACATTAAGAATATGGCTAACCTATGGAGTATAGGCAACGAGAGTAGGGCTCCTTCAAAAATAATGGAAACCCTTTTCAGCTGACACATTTTTGGTGTGTATTTTCAAGAAAACTGACGTGTGGTCCTATTCCTATTCCTATTTCCTATTTCCTATTCCTATTCCTATACCGAGTAAAGAAAAGATTTGTCAAACTAAAGCCACAGTTCTTTCTTGATCTCGCCTTTCTACATCCTTTTCACTTACAAAATTGTTCACTAAGTGCAAATACGTCTTGAGATCATGACACGTGGCCACATCTCCAGCTTTGCTAAATTTAGAGTCTTTACTACTTAATCTAAGTTCTTTGCCCACCTCAGCATATACCCATTGTGTATCCTCCATGCATTTTTGAAGCCAGCTTGGCAGCCCCGTTGTCGCCATGTGGGCACCCCCTCTTTCCGCCACGTCATCATCTTCGTCGAGCACGAACCCGGGAACTTTTGTAATTGGATCTTCGGAGTTGACAATGCGGAGAACATTTGTACCACTTTTCTCTAATTGACATCTAAAACTTTTGTTTCCTATTCTAGGTCCTCCAAATGATAGGACTGTTACTATTGGTGCGTGACTAAATTTTTTAGTTATATCGTACGCTGTTAATGTTGCAAGGGCAGCTCCAAGACTGTGGCCTGTGACAGTTATACTTAAAGGCTCGTCGCTATACTTTTCAAGAATGTTGCCAATTTCTTCTCTAATTGTGTCTTGTAAACTTTGATCACATTCGTTTTTTGTTGTGTACAAACTCAAGAATCCACTTTGTACCATGGGTTGATCGTAATTTTCGGGTGCCATGTCATCCGGTAAAGCAGTTAACGTGGCACGTAAATTTTCGAGCCATTCACATGAGGTGGCAGTACCCCTATAAGCAATCACCACGTCACGACGCCCAAGTCTGGCGATCTCTTCCTCGTCTTCGCAAACTGCCACGTAACCAATCCAGCTTGAGCACGGGGACGCTAAATTCGGGAACCTTTTAGTCCAACTTGGCATTTGAACTGCACATGTGGCATAAAGGTTCTTGATTACCTTATATTCGCTCTTGTCTAGTCCGCAGTCTGTCAGCATTGAATTCGTAGGATAACGACAAGTGGCATACGTAGGTGATGACACGTCAAAGTCAAAGCAGCGATAGGCTGCTTCGACAAATTCCCCGTACCTTAAGATCTCCTTACGGAGATCATCATCAAGTGGATCAAGCAAACCTTCCCAATTCTTGATACCTTGGAATTCCATCCACCGGTGTCGGAGTTCAGCTGTTCTGTCTGCGACAGAGCAGTGACCCGACCCTGGGTTCCACGAGCTCGTGATCCTGAAGCCACGAGCACTCGATTTTCTTAGTGTAGAGCACCTTGAAGTAGGAAGTGCAAATTCCAGATGCTTTTTGGTGAAAAGCAAGTTATAATTTGAGGAGTGTATTATGTTGCAATTTGATTTGAAATTTCCAGCTAAGAGCCTCATGTTTGAAGGTAGTTTTTAATGATTCTTGGAATGTGGATGAAGAGGTTCTTGCACTTCACGTAGTTACATTTTGGCTGCACTCAAATGATAGTATTTATAGTTATAGAATGGAACTAAACTCATGCTAAAAGAGTATATAGTGGGTGGTGGGTCAGTGGGGAGAATGTAACGAAGGAGAAGACTATAAGAGGAGAATTGGAGGCGGACGGTGCATTGATTTTCATGGGATAGGTATTGGACTAGTTAAGTGGGGACAAACTGAGTTAGCAACTGAAAAACGTTGGTTGAGGACTTATTTTGCAAATTTTCAAGATTTTGGTATTAGAAAGCCTACATATAACGCCTGTTTGGATTGGCTTAAAAAAGCTTTTCAGTAGAAATAGTTTTTAAGCCAAAAAGCAATAAGTTGGGGTTGCCCAACTTATTGCTTTTGACCTGTTTTAAGCAGTTTTTAACTTATCTTAAGCACTTTTTAACTTTGTCGAATATTAAAATAAATTAAAAAGAACGTAAAAGCTGATTTGACCGTTTTAAAATCAATCATTATTAATGCTTGCGTAAAAGTAGTTTGCTTGAATTACACTCCTTCGGGTGCGACCCTTTCATAGACCTGTATGAATGCGGAATATTTTGCACACCGTACTGCCCTTATCATTAAAAGTCAAATAAGAAGTTTATAGTTAAAGAGTTTCTAAATATGACTAGATGAGGAAAGGTCCGTATACGGGCCCAACATTGTAATTTTAAAATTGTTGTCTGTCGGTGCTCAATTAATTTTTTGATAAATAAATCGATCATTGATATCCATTTAATAACTGAAGAGAATGATATTGGGGATCACAATTTATAATTAATTTATTTTAATAATTTACAAAAAAATTAAACTATAAATTATAACCTGCTTAAGTTGCTCCAATTATTAACATAAAAAGACTATGTGCTATAATACTCATTTTAACATCAATATAAAATATAAACATCAAATTGTAAAATTGATTGAATGGTATTATTTCCCCACTATATTTGAATTTTTAACAAGATAATCCATTAAAGGTACAAGTGTATTTATATTAATAATTTTTCTACAATAAAAAAACTTACCGATCTATTTGTAAACTAATTTTGAATACATCCAATTTGGTCTTGCAAGTGTTTCAATAGTGGGAACAATCAGCTACCTGATGGAAAGTTAAAACGAACAACATCATTCTTTACAATACGAGAAAATTTAAAAAAAAACTTATGATTTTACTTTATGTCTTGTATACAACAAAATCAAGAGAAATTTTTAGTATAGTCAACAAAGAGAACTTCCAAGGGGACTTGCATCCCTAAAGAGGCAATTTACTACTTCAAACAAAGAGAACCAACTGCACTAAACAAATATTAACATGATATAAATTGTAGTAATTCAATATAGTAGTTCATATTATATTTTATTATAACTTGTTTAAAATGATGCTACTGGTGATGAGATAATAAATATTTGAGATAAGTCTATATAAATTATAGGAATTTTATTTTTTCTTAATTAAGGATATAAGAGAAATGTTTTTATTTTTTCTATAGATTTATCATATGTTAATTTTTATAATGAAATAATATAAAATATTTTAAGACAATTTATAGATTGTTGAAAACTTATCATGGAACAATGGAGTTCAAACCATATAAATCAAAATTTCACATCAATTAAGTACATAAGAGATAACCTCCTAGAACAGATGAACAAATATCATCACTTAAATTAACTTTTAAGGTTTACCAAACTATAGTTTTTAAAATTACTTTTGAATATAAAACTTTTAGGTTTGAAATCGCCTTCAAATAGTGTGAATACATGAAAACTTTTTAATTTTATTTTTTAAATTGTGTTAAAATAGTATGGGTAAATATGAAAATATTGTAAATATTTATCTATATTTCTTTTTGTTGCTTTATTATTTAAAATTAAATTTACTTTTTCTATGAAAACTTTTAGTTGACTAAAACAAAAATTAACAATTTTATCAAATGAGAAAAGATATTCAAAATGAGTATTTGCATGGAGTAACTCTATGCAAAAGTAGTCTAATCAATAGTACATTTAAACTTTTAAAGGAGTGATGTGGTCAAGGGAATGTGGGGTCCACGTAGATCAAGGAGGACACAATTGACATTTAAGAAATGCAAACAACATAATAATTGTTTTTGAAATGATATATTCCCTTAGTTGACCATCTTTCCTTTTCTATATATCTAAAATATATCTAAATATGATAAAGTATTACTCCCTCAGTTTCACGTTGTTTATTGTAGTTTTACTTAGCACAAAGTTTAATTAAAAAAATATTTGAAACTTGCGATCTTAAATATTTCATAATATTTGTGTGACTATAAAAATTTTAAACTTCTGATTTTAAATTTGCTGTAGCATCTGTATGAATATAAAAATTTCTAACTAAATAAATATAAACATATATTTTTTTTAGAACAAACTAGTAAGAAAAAATAAAATAACACGAACGGAAGAATATTCTTATTAAAATGGACCAAAAACACAAAATACATCAGTTTACTAAAACATAGATGAGTATGAAAAGGGAAAATTAAAATAGAAGAAAGCTGAGAAAAAAGAAAAGAAAAAGGAAAGATTGACCTTAAAAAATTTGACATATGTTGACCACCAACCAATTAGGCAATTACGTACACCAAAGAAGAGTAAACGAAACGAGTAAAGAAGAGTGTAGTGAGTCCGAGTGCTTCTTTGGCTCCGACCATATTGGTTGCACGTGCGTATCACTGTACGCGTCCCCTGTAATATTTAATTTTACTACTTCTCTAAGACCGTAGTTTAAAAATTCATCTATATCCGATATTTACATCAAATTAAAAAAAATAATCTAATGCATAAAATATTTTATGTTCATGCAGGGTCCAAAAAAGAATTGTGCATCAAAAGATGTGATTTAAGCAGCCTACCCTAATGCAAGTGTCAGTTGGCTTGGCTAATTCTACGGCTCGAACTCGTTACTGTTACTGTTACCGTTACTCTAAGACTTTCCTTCATCAAATCAATAAATATATAACATGTTTTGATGTAAATAATGTAAATATTGAATGCAAGTAAGTATTTATCCCTCCACAACTCTCCCTTTAAGGGGGGGGGGGGGGGGGTTGTTCATGGTTGTTTTCATGTATTGCGCCTTGACGTAATTGGTAAAGTTGCTGCCATGTGACCAGGAAGTTATGGGTTCGAGCCGTGGAAACAGCCTCTTGCAAAAATGCAGGGTAATGCTGCGTACGATAGACTCCTGTGGTTCGGCCCTTCCCCGGACCCCGCACATAACGGGAGCTTAGTGTACTGGGCTACCCTTTTTTAATTATCTTAACCTCAATATTATATTGAGTGTAAGTTCTAACTTATAAGTATAGGTGAAATAAGAAAATATAGACATAATCAAATCATATTTAAAGTAATTAAATCTATACGATAAGAAATTATATTGCTATAGAAAAAATCATAATTAGTATATATAAAATTTAAATTCTATTTTGTAATGATAATATTCCGTTTATAATGCAAACATGCATGGCGTAGAATTTTAGAGGTGACAATGTGGTAGTATTTTAATATTTTTGTGGACAAGTGGCTACATAAATGGCATGTGGCTTGATCTACTAATGCTAAGCCGGGTGTCATTTTGCATGGGATGTGTTGTCATTGATCACGCCCAACTATACCTTATAAAAAGACAAAGCGGTCGTTGCAAATATAATTCGATTTACAAGTCCAGAGTCGAATCCTCACGGAACTAACCTATCTATTACAACTCTTAGTGATGCTAGTACAAGCTCAAACAATTTCCGGATACAAGATTTTTATCAATAAATTTGGGATTTGCTTAACTAAAGTAAAATGATATTAAAACTAACAATATTCCAAATTAAAGATAATTCAATGGTAAAAAGATCTAGTGTATTGATTTCCCCAATTGCTAGATTAATTCTTAACTCTCTTGCTATAATCTCGCCGTAATACTCTAAGAGGATTATGAGCTATGGGTTGCCGCATTAATCTCTCGACCAACTAAAATAAATTACTAGAACATTGTCTCGAACTACTCTAGCTGATAATATATGCAGCTCCGAATTATCCCACCAAAGTTTAGTTATTTCTAACCCCACTTTTAAATTCAAGTAATGAATCTCTCCCATTACCCAAAAGTGGTGTTGTTCAACAACAATCTAACCTAGTATTCTTTCTCAAGCAACACAAGGCGACTAGACACGATTAATCAAGGGCTCATTCAATTAATCACCATACAAAACATAGTTGAACAATCATATAATAAACTCGGCCTGATTATATATAAAACTGAGTCAAAACTTCATCTCACAATTGGATCCATCAACCCTAGATTAAATGTTTAGCTACTCATAATTGTTTTTATAATCACAACAGCAAAATTCATAATCAATTATCAACGCAAAAGGAAGAAAGATAGAACTCGATGCCGAATTTTCCTTCTTGCCTTTTGCCTCTTCTTGCCTTCAACAAAACTATAAAAACCTTGATACCCCATCTTTGGACGACTTGGGCTTCTTATATGTTAAGGAGAGTTGCCCCCGAACTTACAAAATTACCCCTGGAAATAAGGTTCAACGAATTAACGAGCGCGGCCGCGCTTAGGCCGCGCATATCGCGTTTTATTCTGCTTGGACTAGCGCGGCTAGAGCGCGCCCGCGCTTAGCCCGCGCTCATAAGGGTCAGCTGTTTTCTACTTTTCTCCTTCTTCTTTCACGCGCATTCACCTCCGAGTGGCTTTCCTTACTCCAAATTAGCTCCAAAAGATGTTCAATGTCCTCATAATCAATACTTGCTCCTGCAAAGAACAAAAACCTCAATTAGAGTATTTTGTTATCATTTAGCACTTAAAACATCAATAAAGTATGGTTAACTTCGAGCATAAATAGCATCTACATCGCATAATATAGGCTACTATCAACACCCCACACTTAAACCGTTGCTAGTCCTCTAGCAACAAAACCACACTCTATAAGCCTAATCCTCACTAGGTCACTTTCCTACTCC